ATCCCTGGGGAGTTCTGAGACAGCAGTTGAGATTAGGCATGGTGGCACATGCCTAAAATCCCAGTGCTTGGGAGGCTGAAAAACAGGAAGGATCACTAACAGTACAATCTGCATAGTGAGACCCTGTAGACCCTGTACTAAATACATTTAAAAAAAATTAGAGTTGCTAAAGCTTGTAAACATGAGATCTACAGAATGAAGTTTCTATATATGAAATGCTCAGGTTAGCTTTTCATAAAGATAAAAGAAAAGTTTTGTTGTTGTTTTTCTTGTTGTTCTTGTTGTGTTTGTTCTTTTATAAAAGTGAACCTGAGTAGAATTATAGATAGCTAATTCTTCCACAAAAAAAGAGAAATAAATATTCACAGAAAACTCTTTGCTTAAAGGCTTAGGGTGCTGGGGGAGTAGCTTAATGGAAAAATGCTTACCTAGAATGCAAGAAGTGCTAGAATTAATCCTCAGCATCATGGGGAAGGATTGCTTAGATTCGGTCTGAGTGATTATTAATTAATCCAAGTAACTAATCACCAACATTGGTTGCTACCTAAAATTTGATTGTGTTCACAAATGGCCTATATTTACAGTAGGGACACAACGTGAAGGAGTGTCCACTAGCTCCCTCAGCCAGGTAACAATTGTGTAGCAGCCACCCTGGGATACAGGTATGGATCCCCTTTTAGGTTTAATTTTTACTTTAAGACCTTATTGATACTTACTAATTCTATAGAATACTAAGATCCATTTTGATATACCAGTGCACCCATACAACATTTAGATGATTTTCATCCCCAGGAACTTCCGTTTCATTCCTCCCCCTTGGTCTGATCAATCTGTAAAATCCAGTTTCCTGTCATCTTTCCGAGTGTAGATGAAAATTTTGAATCCATTGGCACCAGATTGGGGGGGTACTTAGGGTATGGACGTTTACTGTCAATACCCATAGCAGTAACTGGGGCCAAGGAAGTTGGTCACTGGAAGGAAAGCAAAGTGTAGTGACAAGCACCTTTATCAATTATAAATGAGATAGACTCACCCTCCACTGGAAGAGTTACCAGGATTTCAGCATTTAAAATGTTCCCTGGACCTTGTCAGTCTTCAGTGGCTAGCCAAGCAAGATGCTCTGGAAAGGAGCTGGTTGGGGATCCTAGGGTTGTACCCCAGAGCTATCAGGTGTGGGCACCATCCCTGGGCAATCTGATTTCCAATGTAGAGCCCCATGAGAAGAACATTACTTGGGGGTGGAGCCCCCTTTTGGCTCAGCAAAAAGAATGATTTTGAGTTATCAGCCAAATCACATCATCTTCGACCTTCGGTGTCTCAACTATCCATAGAACACAATATCTACCCAGAGTTATTATGAAACCAAATAAATTGCATCAGCCACCTCACAGTGTCCAATACTTGATAGCTTCTCAAAATAGTTTCATTCCCTTCCCTGTGAAAGAGGACTGCAGCCAACACTTCATCATCTAAAGACATCTGGTGGTTCCACAGCCTGTTGTCCAGCCAGAGAGATTCCTGTGACGTCCAATATCTTGTACTCTGAATTTTCCATTCCATAGTAACAAAAAGAAAGTGAGCCAAAGCCAGGCTTTCTTAATAAATGTTAATGTCATTTTCTATGCCCTCTGTGTTTCATTCATTTATGCTTGCTTGTACAATAGAAGTTAGGAAAAAGTCTGTCATTAATATGTTTCATTGGTGAAGAAACAAATGATAAATAAAACATCAAAGAATTTTTCAGAGCAAAACACCAAGAAAAACAAAATCCCCCTTATGTTAACAGTATGTTTCAAATAGTCAAAAATATCTCAAGATTTTAAGCAAGGAGTAGTTTAAACTTGTTTTTCAAATATTATTTGAAAAGAAATAGGCTGAAATGATCACTAGAGGATGTCACAACATGATAATCTATTTCTGAAGTTTCACTACTCTTGTTCTTGCTATGAATGATGTAGGAACTTCTGAATTTAAAAAATATAAAACACAGATGCATGAGTGTATTTTCAGTGTATATTTTCTTTTTCATGTCTTCATATTGCTTTTAGTAGATCAATATTGACTGGTGTGTTTGTATTTAAGAAATTGGGTTTGAAAATTGTGTAATTATGCAGATATATCACTTTTAATGTTTTAAGCCACTGAATTCCAAAAGGAAGGATACCTGCATACTAAATTACATTTAGCCATGCAGAACTGCTGATAAGCAAAGCTTAGTAGTTTCATGAATTGTTGAATCAATTCTCAGCCACATTCTGAATTCTAGAAGTATTATCCCCCAAGATGAATGGAGAAGACAGGAATAACAACTTGATTTGACATTACCATGCAGAGGTGGCAATAGGATCTGGGGGAATACTTGCTTTGATACACAAATGTACTCACTTTACTTGGCAGGATTTTAGACACTATCTCAGAAGCCATGGCACTGTCATTATGACAAGTCTGCCCTTCCCGTTCTCAGTCTGAACCACAGTCGTAAAGCAGTGAGACTTATGGGGTATTATCTCAAAAGCCAAAGGGCTGTAAAGAAAAAAGTTGCTAGCAGGCACTAACACAGGTGTCATGACTCTTTTCAGGTAGTAGGTGTTACCTTGAAGAAAAAGTGGCACTGTCTTCAAAAAAGTGACCTGACCCTGGCTTTGGTGGGTTTTTCTGCAAGAAATAAAAAGCACCGCATGTGTTTATTATACATCCTTTCTAGCTGACCACTGCTTTGTTCTAGAGTTCAGCATGAAAGGACTAATTTGTTTTCGTTTTGATTTTCTTTTTAGTAAAATGGCATGTCCGTTGCTAATTCTAGCTACTGTAGTTGCATATGTAAAAAAATATCTCTATATAGTTTATGGATTGGTAGCATTTCAAATAAATGACATATTGAAAACTCGACCTAAAATTTTTGAGATGCTTATCAATTGACATTTTTTTCTTAGCTCAAGTCTGAATTATTATTTTTTAAATTATATCTTGTAACATTAGATTTGTTCTTATAAGTATAGTAGGAATTTGAATATAAGCATGCCACTTTGTTTATTGCTGTGTCATTAGAACTTCTTGGAGCATGGAAGGACTTCCTCAGCAATGATTGGCTCTTTTGAAAGAACAAGCTGCAAAATTCTTTGTTATAAGCCATATAGTATATTAATGAGCATAGCTTATAAAGGTATACTAATCTTATGGCATGCAATGTTTCAAAGAAATAATTTTGATATCTGAAAAATGTAATTTAGTAGCATCACAATAACTCTTTTCCCAGAATTCAGAATTATATGCATTTCCATTTGAGGAAGTTTATATTGTTTCATTAAAGAAGAAACCTGGAATCATGCACCCTGATTTGTTATACAATGAATCCTAAAATTCCCTTTATTTTTCCAGAGATCAGTTATTCTAGGATTGTGGCCACATACTCTTTTAGAACACATATAAAAATTACTACCAATATATCTACTGAATAAAATCTCAAGTATCTGATACATCTTAAAAAATAATCCATTATCCTTCATTAAATGCTAGTTCTTAAGTTGAGACAAACTCTCAGCCTTGTAAATAGATTCACACATTAAAAAATCTATAAACTCTTCAAAAAGTTTTTCAGTGTACTCATAAATAAAGTTGCTACTGGCTACATTTTAGAGAGTCAACGCCTGAGGAAAATGGACACTGTTTTGCTCCCTGGAGTGAACCTGCCTTCTAAATACTTAAAGCCCTTGGAAAGCCCAATATAATATGTAATTCTATCCCTTTTTGTTGCATGGAAACTATCAAGATTGTTAAGCTCTGGAGTTGATATTGACCTTAGCTCGTAATTCCCTTTGCAGACAACACATCCCATATGTTCCTTTTTCTTTATTTCCCTACCTGTGATATCTCTGTATGCTACGTTCATATTTTAAGCAGAATTATAACACATTCATTTATATGTGCTCTTAGAAGAAAGTGTTTTCCTCTGGAGAGGATCTGCCAAGGAACTGAGAAAATACTTTTTTGTTTGTTTTTGAAGTATTTAAGATTATTTAATTTTTACATAGTATGAAGTTTTTCCAGTTCAGTTTGAAAGGTAATTTTGGTTTTCATAGACTATATATACTCTCAAACATTTAATAATCTGATAGATTCAAAAGTCAGAAAACCAACAACCCATATTACAGTTCGTGATTCTGCTCTGTATAGAGACAGAGAAACAGAGATAGATCAGTCCTTCCATATTAATCATCTTTTGCTTCTGGATTTATAGGGCTCTCTGACAAAAGCCATTTCTAATTCTATTAAAATCTATTGGCTTCAGGTGCTGGAGAGATGGCTCAGTGGAATAAGCACTTCCCTGGAAAGCGTAAGGGCCTGAGTTCAATCCCCGGTTCCACCAAAAAAAAAAAAAAATCCAATGGCTTCAAAAGCGTTGAAAGTGGAAAAAACATTTTTTTAATCATAACCCTACTATTTTCATAAATCAAGTTGGGTGAACTCCTAGTATGTCAAACCGCCAAAGAATTCTTAGAGATTCTTGAAACATTTTTACACATTTGATGATTAGCCCACTAAAAGATGACAAGGACTCCAGAGACCACCCAATCAAAGTCTTCTGTGAGAAGCAGACTCTGATCCTAATCTCTCTCCCAAAGTCCAATCCTTCAAAGTATTTAGGGATTATACAATAATAATTTATAAATGCGTACACCAGGCAACAGCTATTGTTTCTAAATTAGCACTATCAAAACTTTTGTTATGCAAATTGCCTTAAAATACATACCTGTAAAATACTATGTTAAAATTAAATATACTATATCAGGTATAAAGGTGAAAAAGGAGGTAGAAGTTCACAAGTAATCTTTTTTCAGATTTTCTGTGTTTTCTCCTCAGCCAAAAGCCTCAAGATGCACTTGCTGCAGCAGCCTACCTCTTCATTTATGTTGGATTGCTCTTTAAACATTAGAGTATCTTGTAATAAAATAAGTCAAAGATTTCTCCTGACACAGTCGTTGTTGATTTCACTGTTATAGGGAAAAGGCTCTAGGGCGGCAGATAAGGCTGTTGCCATGGTGATGAAGGAGATACCGAGGGAGGAGTCTGCCGAAGAAAAGCCCCTCCTTACTATGACATCACAGGTGGGCAGACCCGTAGGGTTCCTGTAGGAAGCTGACATATGTCAATATATCAGACTATGTGATCATTAACTAGAAAAAAAAAAAAGTTAACTCTGGAACCAATTTTTTTAAAGACAGTTTCAATGAAACAACTGTACAAATATAAATGCAAAACAAAATTGCTAAAAAAAATTACTTAGTTATTTGCTCATGGATTTAAATTTTCATTACTCAACATTAGCTTAAAAAATATACATGCAAATACTGTAAAACATGTTGTTTCTGTAAAAGGAGTCTCATTAACAACTTTGGGAAACAAATAACAATCAAGCTAATGGTACATTTGAACGACAACCAAAAAAAAAAAAAATCAAATTCCTGTGAATAAACACAGTTATATTGTATACATATGTCAGTTTACCAGTAGAATATCTAAATTTTCTTAAATGTTAAATATATTTGTTGTGACTATGCATACTACATACTTGTCTATACATATTTATGTAGATCGCTAATTTACAGGAATGAGCCAAAAGTCCCTGAGTCCCCAAGAAGAAAATGGCATTTGTAACCCTGCTAATACTTAGTGAACTTGACAACAACAACAACAAATCATCTCTATTATAAGTTCATGAGGGCCATTTTCAGGATTTCTTATAACAAGTGCAGAAAAACCTGTTTGGATCTGTATACTAAGACATGCTGAGACTGTGGCTCCTGTATGTCCTCAGGGACTTTGAAACACCCTGTAAAATCTACATAAATATATAATATGCTCATCACCACTCTGTGGAGCTATCAGTTTTAAACTTTTCAATTAGAAATATTTTTACTTGCATCTATCTTATAATTTAGATTAGAATGTTATTTTAAACATTTCATTTTTTCCATAATGCAATAATAAATGCAGTGATTCGGTTCCTATTATACGCACATGTCTCGAATTAGAAAAAATGTCCATTTACAGTCCTCATGAAACGCATTTATACGAAAAGCTAAATTATGGTGACTTATTTTTAGACAATCAGCAGATCCTGCTCCAGCTGCTGCCAACATGTGTGGTTTTATTTTATTCTAAATACTATGTTGTAAGTAATGAAAATTATAACACTAAAATTGAATAATTTTTAGGTTATTAAAGATTACCAGGACTTTGGAATAAGTGTTATGTTATCAGGGTTTTTTTTTCCTTAAATCCATAAAAAGAGACACTTCTCATGACACTTGATAATAGTTGAAATTTGTCTTAAATTTATGAAGTTCTAATTTACATAGTAGAGCAGATGTAGCTTGGTTGACTCTCTTGTCTATCAGAGTCAGACCTCTGTGAATCCCATGTGTGACATATTCAATCCCCACTCCCTCAGGTGCATAATTAGAGGTGTGAACTACTTGGTTCAGAGAATTCCTCTCGGAGAATTCTTGGCTAACAAGAAAGTCGTCTGTATCTTATCTATTGATGTTGGCACCATTGTGCTACAACGTATCATCTCAGGACATCACAATTTAGGACAAGTTTTGTCTCCTAAACCATGCATTTCTTATGCACTTTTCAGTAATCTTTTTCCAGATATTCAAAATCACCATCATAGCCTAAACTTGATTTAGAAATTTATTGCAAAATATTTTTACTTTTTTAATTTAAATTATTTTTATTATTACCATTGTCTCATATTCAGAACATGTGTGTGCGTCAGTTCCTTCTTTAATCCCTGTCTAATGTTGCGTTGACTGTTTTGAGGTACCTGTTAGAATTTTACTGCATGAAAGGAGTATGATGCTTTCTCTGATACATCATACTCTATTTGCCTACTGGCCAGTTTGTGAATCAACAAACAGAGAAATCTGATTCATAGAATTTAATGCACCTGTTGTGGTAATAATTTTATGGAATTGATTCAGTGACAGCTGTAATACAATTATTTCAGTCAAGTGCAGTTTTATTAGTTGATATACTTTATCCACTATACACGAATAGCTTTTTCCCCGCCATGCACCAGTGGCATGCACAAGCCAAAAAGAAGCAGCATGATCTAAAAAAGTGAGTACTTCCCATGGCAACCACAGCATCAGTCCACATACCATGACACATTCTTACTTGTGATCCTTTGTAAGTGTGCTAGTGTCTTGCCACGTGTCTGTCCCGGTGTCTCCTATAAAGCCCCTTATGACATAGTACTGCCTACTGCTGAATATATCAACTCATCTTCATCACTAGTACGTTGATGCCAGCTGCTTGTGTCAGATTTCAGATATTTCTGAAGCTAATTGCTGCTTTCTAAGTAATGTCTTTGAAACAATTCCAATAGGTAGAAAACAGAGTAAGTCAATGAAACACTGGGTCTTTACCTCATTCAGTTATTATTCATTCAATAGAATTTAAATGTAGAATAGTCCTATATTCCAGTGTGTTTTAAATTATGTGCTTATTGTGGTATGCCCCATAACTTTTAGAGGGGTTTAGCTAAACACTCTCCATTGAAGCCATCATTAGTACATGAAGCAAACTGAACAAAGAAGAAAACTTACCTGAGATGACCTGAGCTCAGAAACTTCTGGACTGCTCCTGAGAGTTGCTCTCTTTGTTTAATTTGTTAATTCTGTGTCAAAAAAAAGCTTGCATTCCTGCTATCCTAAATTGAGACTAAAAACAGAATAGTACATAAAACAAGTATGCATCGATGAAAGTCCCAAGAGGTAAAAATATGTTCTAGTCACTGAGGCCTTTGAGGAGAAAGCCTTTGCAGACACGCACTGTGCAATGTGACAGCCGTTGGTGGTGTGTGGCTGCTGTGCTCATTCAGCCCCTTGGATTTGAGATGAGCTTTAAGTACAAAACAAACACTAGATTTTGAAGACCAAATTTTAAAAAGTTGTGCAAACTGTCACATTAGTTCAATCCCCGGTTCCACCAAAGAAAAAAAAATCTTATATTAACACATTTAAATAATAATATCTTAGATAAAGAATATTGACTTAAATAAAAGATTATCAGTAAAGTTGATTTCATTTGTTTCTTTTCCTCTTTTTTAAAAACAGTTACTGGATCATTTTAAATTTCAGGGTACTCGTCATACTCCTATTAAGCAACACAACTCTCAACTCTAATAAAATAAACAATTTGAATTTGACAATTGGAGGAAAAAATCTATGTGCCAGAAGATTACACATAAAAAAATATACTTATGAGAGTGAGGTGACTTTAGGGAGACTTATTCTCTGGGAAGAAACCTGAAAGTTTCATTTTGAGCTTATCCCCTGAATACTTTTTTTTTTTCCTAGCAAGATTCATCCCACTCATTTTCCCTGCAGAACGCAGGGTCTTAGAACTCTGTCCCCCATCCAACTGGTTAATGCACTTTATTTTTTCTTTACCCTCAGCTCTTGTTTTTCTGTCTGTTTCCACTCCTCATTCCTCAACATCGATTTAACTGTTTTGTCTGATAAAGATAAAAAGAATGATGCCCTTGATTGGAAGAAAACTTTCAAAGTTACTAACCATGGTCTTGTTGAAATTTCTACTATTAACACAAAACGGTTGCCTCAGTTCTATTCTCCTGCCTACTTTAGTGTTAGTAGTACTTAAAGCACAATAAATGGTAGCTGCTCATTTCCCTACAAATGAGCATCCATTTCACAGGTCTAACTATCCTGTTTGGAAAAATGTCTGTAGTCAGTTTATTGACATTTAGATCAAGTAATTTTCAAAAGTTGAAAATTACTATTAGCCTATCCTTTACAAGAAGAACATCGAAACTAATACATAAGAACAAATCTGTGCTACGGGCCAAGTACTACCAGCTCATAGGAACTGAATTCTGTCCGCTGTCAGAATTACCATGACAGAGCTCCAAAAGTTTGGCAGATTAATGATAGATGGTAATGATTCAGTTGTCTTGCCTTTCAATAGATTCAGTTAACTTCATTAATTCTTACAATATAGTCACTATTTTGATAGACATTACTCATATTTATAAGTGTGGCTAAGACCATGACCACAAATAAGTAGTTCTATGATGAATCATATAATTTACAAATAGCATTTACCTTAAACCAACAGTGTTATATACAAAAGGCATTTTTAAATGCACAAATATATGCCTATAAAAAACAAAAATTTTTCCATCCTTTAAATAAGGTAAAAAGATACCACATCTTATTACAAGTTATTAAAATCAATATTGTAAGTATGAGATGTTTTTCAACTGTTTTTAACTTCTTCTTAAAGATAAGTTCACTTATCACTTAAAATTATTCTTGAAGTAATAAAATGCATAAAAATATGGTATTTTACTTTAAAACTACAGTTCAGGATCAGAAGTATATCTGGGGATATAGCTCAGTGGCACAAGCACCTGGCAAGTGCAAGGTCCTGAGTTCAATTCCCAGTTTAAAAATAAATCACTAAAAAAAATCATTAATCTGAACCATATATTTATTTAAAATGGGTTATTGGCCTTAATTTATAATAAAAATTATTTTCCTTTCTTGTCAGTTTTAGTGATATGATATTACAAACTTTCCTCTCAATATTTTTGAATGAGGCAATATATTTCTCTGAAAATAAGGAAATCACAAGACAAGAAATATAAATGTAGAGTAAAGTTTAAATAACAGACAATATTTTAAAGTAAAACCTTGGCGAAAAAGACCCTGTATCTTAAAACGTATAAGAATTTAATTTTTAAATGTTTAAACTACAGTAATTCAACTAAACCAAATGTATTTTCAGATAAAATTTTAAGACAATTATCCATTAAAGCAAGAAGACTTTCTTTTTTTTTTTTTTTTTTTTTTTGTGGAACTGGGGGTTGAACTCAGCCCCTTGCGCTTGCCAGGCAAGCACTTATTCTACTGAGCCGTCTTCCCGGTCCCCCATATTTTCTACGTTTGTCTGGAGATTAATATTAATAACATCAACTGACTAGTCTAAATATACTGTAATTCAGTTGAGGTAATTTGATTAAAATACATGATTACAAGGAAGGTCTTTTCACCTTTTGAATCCTCATGGACAAGAA